TAGGCAAACTATTCCTGTAACTAACCATTTTCAAAAGAAGATCGACACCCATCCGTGCAATTCTCTGCTTGATTTCTTCTGGAACGTCTGAACTCAGGTATTTTGAGATGGGTTCACTTTCCTACAGGAGCATACATCGACGCATTAGTTCTTCTCAGTGGAATAAAACAGGTTATACAATATTAAAATGATCAAGAGCACAGCCATTTTTACCTCATATGTTTCAACCAACACAGTCCTTGTGACAAACGGTCTGAGGGGCGTCGGAAACTTCACATATTGCAGATCTTTAAAGTTCTTTTGGAACTTTTCGATGTTCTGCGCTTCAAACCGAAGATCGATCTGCATCAAAGAGATATTAAAGCACAAAAATACATCGTTGCCATGAAGCAGTGTTACACTCTTCTAGTTTATATATACAGATACTTTTTTGCCCCACTGTATATAGTTTTACTTCTATCTTAATTTTTTGTTATTTAAATTTTTTAATTATTTTTATTTCAGTTAACATTTATTTCATTTCAATTAAGAAAGACCTTTTTTTTTTTACGGTTTTAGTCAACTAAATTTATCCTGCATGGAAGGTTCTTCATAAAAACATCAGTACCTGTTTGGTCATGAGCTTCTCAAACTCATCTACAATCTCAGGCAGGCTGAGCCACTTGATGCCGGGCAAACAGTTGAGGAATAAACTCCCAGCTTTCATTAAGATCAGATCGACCTGCACCTGCTGCCTGACTCCTGGATGAAGAACCTGGTTGAAGGAAAAAGATGCTACAGAATAATGATTATATTAAAACACCTAATAATAACAGAGACAACCAACAAACATAATTTTAGTCCAGCACCTTGGTGGTTAAATTTGTTAGCTAGTATAACACCCCAACCAGTTAACTAGCTAAACAAGAGTGACCATCTTAACCTTAATCCTCTGTTCAGGTAATCTGTGGCCTGAAACGATTTTTCAGATCGACCTGCACCTGCTGCCTGACTCCTGGATGAAGAACCTGTTTGAAGGAAAAAGATGCTAGAGAATAATGATTATATTAAAACACCTAATAATAACAGAGACAACCAACAAACATAATTTTAGTCCAGCACCTTGGTGGTTAAATTTGTTAGCTAGTATAACACCCCAACCAGTTAACTAGCTAAACAAGAGTGACCATCTTAACCTTAATCCTCTGTTCAGGTAATCTGTGGCCTGAAACAATTTGAGTGTTAGTCCTAAAATGGCATCTTACGTTACTTGACTAGTTTAAGCTGGTTTGATCAGGATTTTTCAATCCAGGGTAAGAACAGCCCAAAAACTAAGAAGAACAGTAATAAACATCTTGAAAAACGTCATTTAAATTCCAATTGTACTTTGATAATCTAACGTATTTCTGTGAGAAAATAGAGTGCTTTAAATAAAGAAAAAACTAAAGAAAGATTAGTTAAAATTGTCAAGATTAAATTAAATAGAATTTGATTATTTTACATGAAAAAATAATGGTGAAAATCAGTCATTTAATAATAAAAAACACCAAAAGAAATGCATAAAATGAATGTATTTTTTGAGAAAATGGAAGAGGTGAAATCTTCCTTCTGGGTCATTTTACCTTGATAGTCTGACGTATTTCTGTGACAAAATAGGGTATATCATACGGAGAAAAAATAAATAAATAAAAGCTTGGCTGTCTTTAACTTCAAGAATAGCCAAAGCAATCTCTGAAGAATACTAAACATCTTGAAAAGCAAGAGATGTCATTTTAAAAACCTGTTTTGCCTTGATAATCGGACATATTTCTGTGACAAAAGAGTATACGATAAGAAAAACCTCAAATATATCAAGTAAAAAGTGTTAAGATTAAATCAAATTTGCTTGATGTCAAAGAGTACTTTAGGGGTAAATAGGGTTGCAAAAAGGTGGAAAATGTCCAGCAAACTTCAGAAATATTCCAGAAATTGTGGAAAATTTACAGGATTTTTTTTTTTTTTAATATTCCAGGGATTTTTGGAAGGTTTCCGGAAATGTTCCACCCCTTTGCAACCTTAGCGGTAAATACCAAAATAAAATGCATACTTTTATTATTTTAATTTTATTAATGAAAGTAATGCATTTAAAAAACAAAACTGCTTTTTTTTTTTTTTTTGGACTTCTCCGGGAGTTGATTGGATAGTGAAAAATACAAAAATATGCAAACTGATCCAAATGGTTGGAAGGGGCGTGTTTAAAAAGTAAGAAGACCGTGAGCAGGATCTTTACCTTAATTGCCACAGGAATCAGAGGCTCTTCCTCCAGGTGTTCGCCTGGGCCAGGTCTCTCTCTGAAATCCCTCGTCTTGGTCTCCGCCGTCTCTTCCTCATCTTTACACGTCTCCCAAAAGTCACTCAAAGCTCCTCCCAGACCAGGGATCTCCCAGGCCTCCAGGAGACTGTTCCTCTCCAGTTCCTCCACCAGCTTCAGGAACGCCGGATCTTCGACGCTCTTCACCTTGGCTTTGGCGCGGTACACCTGCGCCACGCATCCCGAGCCCACAGGCTCCTTACTGTCAAACACAAACATCTGCCTCCATCCTTCCCCAAACGCCCGCCTCAGACAGAGCTTGGTGTGGGACCAGGGATGGGGCTTCACCTTCACATGAAGCCTTGAGAAGCGCTCGCAGAAGTCCCGGGAGAAGATGTCCCGTCTGGTGCTGGCCCACTGGCCCAGTTTGTTAAAAGTAGGTCCAGATGTTTCCGTGGCCCAAAGCAGGGCGTCCAACCAATGGGACGCCCAACGTTGTGATAGTAACGTCAGGGGATACAGAATCAGAAGTGGGCTGAATTTGAGAAGCAGCACCAAGGCACGGATTCCCAAACGCAAGACGAATACTAACCTGTGGATCTGCACCCGGGCGACTGACTTCCTCTCTGTGGTCCTCCGCTGAAGGACAGCTTCCTGTCCAGCGGCGTAAGTGACGCCACATGCAGTCCAACACAACAGTCCCACTTTGGGGGCTTGAGAAAAAGCATGAGTACCTTTAACGAGAAACACTCTACGGGCCGGGATTCGAATCGATACCCGGTGCACCAAGTACCTGAAGTTCTGGAGCAGGTGTCTTGTGCAGAAAGCAGACATGTTTTAATCAGTTATTAATTATTTAGACATTTACCAGTTTCTTTAGGACAAGTGTAGTGCAGTTGCAATTGAAATCAGACATATGAAAGCATATTATGATCATGCATACAGTATGTAGAATAAACATTCACTTATTAATGGGAAATGATGTATTAAAATCTACATGCAAGTTGCTGATGTCTTAGCATTAACTATGCATGCATGCACTGCAATGCAAGTATAATATAATGCAGAGAATGATTCAAAATACAACGCGTAGTCATAAACTTGCACTCTTTCGCGGCCAGATGTCCACAGTCCTGCTGTTTAGCATTGCATCTCCACATTTTCACACGAATTTAGTTTAATTCATTCAAACGTTTGTTATGAAATGTTGCTCCTCTCCTCGGGTCCGGCTGATTAATCACTCCGTGCGAAATGTGAACCTCAACATTAGTTCCGCGGCTCAGAGGAACCGGAAGAAGCTTATCGAATAATCGATGTATTGATTTAGCGATTAATCGATTATGCGATATATTTAAAAAGCAATAAATCATCAGCTCAGCAATAATAAACACAAGACATGTATGAAACTGAAATGTGTATATACTCCGTACGCAATATCAATATGATTAAAAATAATGAAAATTAAAATAAGAAAATACTAATTAAATAAATAACGAAAACAGAATGAGTAAATGTTTTTTACATATTAAAAAGTGTAATTTTATTTGTTGTTTTGCCATTTGTATTTTTTTTTACTTATTTTAATGTATTATTAAGTTTATTAATTGTATTTATTTTTATTGTTGTTGTTTATATTAATATTAATTATGTATTACCCCTCTTGTACCATCAATTTGACATTTTAAAGTTCAATAAATTATCTTAAAGGACGTTATCTCTTGGTCTTAATATTGAAAACGATGAGATAAATGCACAGATAAATGCACGAGCAAATATGTTTATCATTATTGCTAAAATATGTCACAATAAATAAATAAGTCATAATATGTTTATGATATATTTGTGTACCGCGAATCTTATTTATTTATTTATTTTTATTAAACAGTACAAAACATCAAACCATTAAGCTGTAAAGTTATAAAAACAAAACAAAGAAAAGCAAAGAAAGAAAGAATGCACAAATAAAAATAAAAAGTAACTTATTTTATTATGGCAAAAGTGTCCAAGGTGGTTTTTTTTTTTGTATAACCACAGTTTTACTACAAATACCGTGGTTAAACTATGGTTAGTGTAGCAAAACCATGGTGAATTTGTGGTTACCATGATTTAACTATAGTGAAAAAACTTTTTTTTTCACATAGGACGAATATTTAAATATATAATGTTTATGTATGTGAAATTTAGCTAGCACGGAACATAAATTAATGAAGTTATATTTTCCTATATTCTCTTTCGAGTAGTCAAACAATCCAAAGAAAACCATGTTTTCTTTTTTCTTCTTCTTCTTCTTTTATGCACACCCCGTGGGGGATCAGGATGGGTTCAGTAGCTTTATTATGGCAAAAGTGTCCAAGGTGGTTTTTTTTTTTGTATAACCACAGTTTTACTACAAATACCGTGGTTAAACTATGGTTAGTGTAGCAAAACCATGGTGAATTTGTGGTTACCATGATTTAACTATAGTGAAAAAACTTTTTTTTTCACATAGGACGAATATTTAAATATATAATGTTTATGTATGTGAAATTTAGCTAGCACGGAACATAAATTAATGAAGTTATATTTTCCTATATTCTCTTTCGAGTAGTCAAACAATCCAAAGAAAACTATGTTTTCTTTTTTCTTCTTCTTCTTCTTTTATGCACACCCCGTGGGGGATCAGGATGGGTTCAGTAGGTTGGACTTTTTTCGAGTAAAAAGGTCCATCCAGCTGAACGCGCAAGGATCCCGCCGCACATGACGCACGCTTCACCCACAATCCCTCGCGCGGTCGCAACATGGCAGACGAGCAGACGCAGGAGCTGCAGTCCGCAGCTGCACAAAAGCAGATTTTACCAAACGGAGACTCTCACCTTCTCAAAGAAGACACGGATCCCGTTGACGAGACCGGGAAGAAAAAGAAAAAGAAGAAGAAGAAGGGAAAAGCGGGAGCCGTAGGTAATAAAGACGCAGGGGCGCCGCTAAGGGGGGAAAGTTAGGGCCCACGCACTTTTGGGGCCCCCAGAGATCTGTTTTATAGGTAGTAACAGTAGTAGTAGTAGTAATGTAATAGAAATTATAAATGTATCTACCAAAGAGTTACAAATAAAACAAAATTACGGCTTATTTCTGCATTTCCAGCTAAATTGTGTCCCCCATTCACTGCATGGTTTCGTCCGTCCTGCGTAGCCTAGAGTCACTGAGTGAGATCAGATGGTCAACTGTCAAATTAGAGATGTCTTCGGGGTCGAGGGGGGCAAACCGAGCCGGACGATTTGGTCAGTCGCGCTTGAAAACACATTTTAGTTTTGCTAAAGAAAACCTACAAATTCACACTCTGTTTACATCGAGCAGGAAGCGCGCGAGGTTGTCATGGCAACCAGACACACTGCACGCGAATTACGGCTGCGCTTCTATTTCGCGTCACTTGAAAACATAATAATACACAATAAACATGTCTGTCAAAATGATCTCAAAGGAGGCTTTTATTAAGCAAATCAAGGAGTGAATTACTCATCCACTGTTTAAAGGGGTCATATGATGCTGCTAAAAAGAACATTATTTTGTGTATTTGGTGTAATGAAATATATTTATGCGGTTTAAAGTTAAAAAAACACATTATTTTCCACATACTGTGGTGTGGTGTGGCCCTTTAACAGCGTTCAATGTTTAGTTTATGCGCTGGAGTGTTGGTTAATGGCTGGTTAGAGTGTTTAACTAGTTTGTGAACTCATGGCAGTTGTGTAATGTTGTTATAAGATGCTCCACGTGGGCTTTATGTCTGTTAAATGTATATTGCAATGCACTGTGTGCGTCAAATTCACTGTATTGTCGTTCATAGGAAACCATGAGGGTGAAGGAGAGTCTGAAATCAGCAAAGTGGCAAATCAACTGGAGCGACAAACTTTAGAAGACCAAGAGAAAGATGATGAGCCAGAGGAAGGTTTGTCTGAAGCTAATTGCTAAAGTTCCCACTGCAAGTCCACGTGTATCTAAGTTCTGTTTTTGTATTGATTGTTATATGGTGAAATTTCTATTTTGGCAGATGGCGAGGAAGGAGATTCAACTGGAAAGAAGAAGAAGAAGAAGAAGAAAAAGAAAGGACGTGAGTGATTGTTTAAATTCCCCCTGCAGTCACTCATTTAAAGGATTGGTTCCTGATAATTTACTCACCCCCATGTCATCCAAGATGTCGTTCTGTCTTCAGTCGCAAAGAAATTAAGGTTTTTGAAGGAAAACATTCCAGGATTTTTCTCCATATAATGGACTTCAATGGGGATCAACGGGGTGAAGGTCCAAATTGCAGTTTGAGTGCAGCTTCAAAGAGCTCTACACGATCCCAGCCGAGGAATAAGGGTCTTATCTAGCGAAAAGATCGGTCATTTTCTTAAAAAATAAAAATAAAAGTATATACTTTTAACCACAAATGCACATCTTGCACTAGGTCCTCGACGCGCTTCCGCAAATTCATGGATTACGTAATCACGTTGGAAAGGTAGGGTTGGGCGAAAATCTCCCATCTCATTTTCTCCTCCAACCTCAAAATCATCCGACATCGCTGTTTTATCTTTTTTTTGTAAAGGGCATTTAACTTTCTTTGCATGTTCGCTATGTAAACACTGGGTCAGTACTTCCGCCTACGTTACGCGTGAACTTTCCAACATGATTACGTCATGCGTGAAGTCCAGCTAGTGCATGACGAGCATTTTGTGGTTAAAAAGTATTGCGCTTCCGCAAATTCATGGATTACGTAATCACGTTGGAAAGGTAGGGTTGGGCGAAAATCTCCCATCTCATTTTCTCCCCCAACCTCAAAATCGTCCGACATCGTTGTTTTATCTTTTTTTTGTAAAGGGCATTTAACTTTCTTTGCATGTTCGCTATGTAAACACTGGGTCAGTACTTCCGCCTACGTTACGCGTGAACTTTCCAACGTGATTCCGTCATGCGTGAAGTCCAGCTAGTGCATGACGAGCATTTTGTGGTTAAAAAGTATATATGTTTTTATTTTTTTAAAGAAATGACTGACCGTTTCGCTAGATAAGACCATTATAGAGAGCCCTTGTAGAGCCCTTGAAGCTGCACTGAAACTGCAATTTGGACCTTCACCCCGTTGGTCCCCATTGAAGTCCATTATATGGAGAAAAATCCTGGGCCCTCATTTATCAACAGTGCGTAGATATATTTTGTCCTACGAATTAAATTTAGAATGTGCTTAAGTTCAAGAAAATCCGTATTTATCAAACATGTGCACGCAGTTCTTACGCACATGAGTAAGAAATCATTGTTGGTAAATCCCACATGTGTGTAAGTACCATGCTCGTTCACGTTCACGGTCATTTGCATTCGGAAACGCCTCCAATGAACCATATATGGTGACAACACCTCCCTTAAAAAATCACGTGAATGTATGTGTCCTCACCGAAATCATGGCAAAGAAAGCGGTACCGACTGAGAAGCCATTCTGTGCTCTCATTCTCAGCGTGGTCTTTGAAAACGCGTTCTATGCGGAGCGCATTGTTTGCCAAGTCTTCCAATAACGCAAGATAAGCCATTGCATTGAGACAAACATTTGTCACAGCTGTGTTTTATAGGGTTTGACACCAATTACGCAAATTGTCTGTTAAAAACCAGACAAATGATAAATTGAGTGTTTTATAATTAAAGGAAACACAGGACATGTGAATTGCTTAATGCATACTGTGACACAAATGCTTTTTATGTGTAGTGTCGCTATTCTACCACTAGATTCTCTGCGTAAGTATGCTCAGAGGTGTGCTTATATTTACACACATTTCTACGTATAAGTACAAGTTGGTAGATCCCACACTTTGCGTGAAACTGTTCTTACGCACTCATTACGCACACATCTGTGCGTACGCACTGTTGATAAATGAGGCCCCTGGAATGTTTTCCTAAAAAAACTTAATTTCTTTGCGACTGAAGACAGAAAGACATGAAGATCTTGAATGGCATGGGGGTGAGTAAATTATCAGGACATTTTTATTGTGGAAGCGAACTGATTCTTAGTTCCATAAAATGGCTTGAATATAACTTACGTTGTTCATATTCCTTCATTCTCTTTCAGCCAAAGTTCAAACAGATCCTCCATCTATCCCCATCTGTGAGCTTTACGCCAATGGAGTTTATGCCAAGGGCCAGGAATGTGAATATCCACCGACGCAAGATGGGTACAGACAGCAGCTGCTTATTACACACTCTAAAACCAGCTAAAACACTTAAAACACTGTTTTATCTCACACAGACGTACTGCTGCATGGCGGATGACCAACGAGGAGAAGAAGTTTTTGGATCAGGCTAATGAGGAGATGTGGAGTGACTTCAGACAGGCGGCCGAGGCCCACCGGCAGGTCAGAAAATACGTCATGAGCTGGATCAAACCGGGCCTGACCATGATCGAGATCTGGTGAGTGAAACCATCCATGCGCTTCACTCATACATTTGTGATATTGGCTTTCATTGGGAAACCTTGGTCAGTGCTACAGTACTTCTTCATTAGTGGTGAAAGGCATAGAGACGGTTATTTTTGCAGCTGACCTTATTGCGTATGCATTAGTAGGAGTTTCCCTTTTGGGTGCAAAAGTTTTAGGAGGAGAGTATTTAAATGAATCATGAAAGGTGATTTACTATGGTTTGCGGTAGTCAGTTTACTTGTAGTTGCACCATTATTTTAACACCTTACTTAAAGGAGTCATATGACATTGCTAAAAAGAACATTATTTTGTGTATTTGGTGTAACACATTAAACACATTATTTTCCACATACTGTACATTATTGTTTCTCCTCTATGCCCCGCCTTTCTGAAACGCGTCGAATTTTTACAAAGCTCATCGGTCTGAAAAGCGAGGTGTGCTCTGATTGGTCAGCGATCTAGTGCACTGTGATTGGCTGAATACCTCAAGCGTGTGACGGAAATGTTACGCCCCTCACCAGGTTCAGGAAACTCTTCTCCGCAAAATGTGCTGCACGCACTCAAATATTTGGGTTGAAGTGTTCTGGAACAGTGTTGTAAATAAAACTTAACCACTGATTTCTAGTTGTGTCCTCTTTTGGAAGCCAAACAAACTAGTTTGGCTTTCGCAAAGAAACAAACAGCGTCTCCACGACATGGCGGCGGCTGCAACAACAATACTACAGCGAGAATCAAAGTTACGCCTTCTTTCTTTGTGTGAACATTTGGGCGGCGTTATGCAAATCTAGTAAATCTGGCCCAAGGTGTTTAATACAGCCCTTCTTAGCTTTAGCACAAAAGACAGCCTTCAGATGATTTGCAAAATATCTAGTTGCAGCTTTTTCAAATTGACGCTCATTGGCAGCCGTGTGCCGTGTTTAATCCGCTAATCAGGTCTCATTTTTCCCTGCCAGTGAGAAACTAGAGGATTGCTCTAGGAAGTTGATCAAGGAAAATGGTCTGAACGCTGGTTTGGCTTTTCCGACTGGCTGCTCGCTAAACCACTGCGCTGCTCACTACACTCCTAATGCAGGAGACCCCACCGTTCTCCAGTACGATGATGTCTGCAAGATCGACTTCGGCACGCACATTAACGGTGCGTCTCAAATCATTTCTGATATTGATTCCCTCTGAGTGATTTGTATGCTGATCTTTTGCCACGTTTGATTGTTTTGGCTTTCTAGGTCGAATCATTGACTGTGCCTTTACTGTCACCTTTAACCCAAAGTACGACAAACTGCTGGAAGCCGTTAAAGATGCTACAAATACTGGAATTAAGGTAGAGTCTTACCTCAACAAATTTATGACATAAACAAAACAAGCATTCAGTATTTATAATTGAAGTACCTGAATGAGTGAAAACATGCAAGTGACATTTCATCCCAAAAAAGAATAAAAATTACATCCACCCCCCCCCACAAAAACAGCAGAAACAACAAAAAAATTGACAAATTTGGACACATTTTCCACTTTCTCAGTAGTAATACTGCAAGTATATTGCTGTGAAATTAACTAATTCATTTTAATAATTAATTTTGTTAGGATTCATTGATTAGAAAGTTCAGAACAACAGCATTTATTTGAAATAGATATATTTTGTAGCATCACGATTGTCTTTACCGTCACATTTGATCAATTTAATGCATCCTTGCTGAAACAAAATTATTAGATTCTTTCAGAAATCTTACTAACCCCAAACTTTTAAAGGGGTCATGAACTGACAAATCAAAATTCCCTTGATCTTTTGACATAAGAGCTCATTGTACTATAAAAACATCCTGTAAGTTTCAGAACTCAAAACTTTCTCATTAGTCTAAAAACAGCTTATATTGAGGCCAATCTGACAAAACGACAGCTTGTGGAATGTGCCACTTTATGATGTAATAGTGTGGCTAAACCCTGCCTCCGCAGAAGAACATCAACGCCTGCTTCGACATCAGTCTGTTTAGCCCCGCCCACCGATACTACATCACTGTCTGTTTAGTCCCGCCCACCGATTCTACATCACTGTCTGTTTAGCCCCGCCCACCAATTCTACATCAGTCTGTTTAGCCCCGCCCACCAATTCTACATCAGTCTGTTTAGCCCCGCCCACCAATTCTACATCAGTCTGTTTAGCCCCGCCCACCAATTCTACATCAGTCTGTTTAGCCCCGCCCACCAATTCTACATCAGTCTGTTTAGCCCCGCCCACCAATTCTACATCAGTCTGTTTAGCCCCGCCCACCAATTCTACATCAGTCTGTTTAGCCCCGCCCACCAATTCTACATCAGTCTGTTTAGCCCCGCCCACCAATTCTACATCAGTCTGTTTAGCCCCGCCCACCAATTCTACATCAGTCTGTTTAGCCCCGCCCACCAATTCTACATCAGTCTGTTTAGCCCCGCCCACCAATTCTACATCAGTCTGTTTAGCCCCGCCCACCAATTCTACATCAGTCTGTTTAGCCCCGCCCACCAATTCTACATCAGTCTGTTTAGCCCCGCCCACCAATTCTACATCAGTCTGTTTAGCCCCGCCCACCAATTCTACATCAGTCTGTTTAGCCCCGCCCACCAATTCTACATCAGTCTGTTTAGCCCCGCCCACCAATTCTACATCACTGTCTGTTTAGCCCTGCCCACTGATTCTACATCACTCTATTTAGCCCCGCCCACTGATTCGCACATGTAGTGTAAATAAAGAGAGAGGCAAACACAGAAATCAAACAATAAAGATTCTCCGAAGACAACAAGACACTGTGAAGTTCCAGACCGCGTCAGTAAGAACTCGGTCCTTTGTTCTCTTAATTTTACCACGGATTTGTTTACAAACAAGGCAAAATTCGACGCAGGATTTTCAGAAAGATTGAAACTAAAAGACGATGCTGTGCCGAATATATTGGATCGACAGTAATGTCGCAGCACACAAGTGTGAGTAACCGTTTTTATTACATGTTTACTATCGCTTTGCTATTACAGATCATTTGATTTGTACTGAGTATTTAAGTGTTTTTAACCTAAATCACAGCAGCATCCATCTATGAAGGCTGTAGGCTGTTAAACACACAGCTGTTAGTTAATCATAGCAGTGGGCATTTACTTCCAAGTCTACAATCCACCACACCAATTTAAACAGAGCGTTCTGATGAGGGGTAAAAACAGAACAGAAAATAGCCTATTACTATATATGTGGACCTCAGAGAATAGTACAAAATAATAATAAAAAAGGCAGTTCATGACCCCTTTAAAAAGTAGTGCAAGTTAAATGTATAAATAACTAATAAGCAACTTGATGTTTTTCTTAGCGTTACAGTAATTATCGTAAAGCTCATTGTTCTTTTATTTCAGTGTGCAGGTATTGATGTTCGTTTGTGTGACATTGGAGAATCAATTCAAGAGGTTATGGAGTCCTACGAAGTGGAACTCGATGGAAAAACATATCAAGGTAAATAGTAATCGTTTTAACCTCAAACACCTAAAAATAACACAAGATAGGATTTTGCCAGTGAAATTACTTGTCTTTCCAGTGAAACCGATTCGAAATCTCAATGGCCACTCTATTGGACAGTACAGAATACACGCAGGCAAGACGGTGCCCATAGTGAAAGGAGGTGAAGCCACTAGGATGGAGGTACGTCGTGACTTTCTACAAAGTTTTTGTTTCACAGATTTGAATATATCTTTGAGTCACCCAATAAATGTTCATAACAAGGAAGATCTCAGGAGAAAGAGTTAATCTTTGGAAAAGGGACAGAGAAACTTGAGAAGGTCTCAGTCTGAGGGTTTAGGGCTGAGTTTGTGTGTGCCAGAGTTATCAGCACAGCCCTTAGCTGACACATCTCTATCAGTCAACACCACAGGGCTTAAAGAGAGGCGTAGTCAAGCGCACTAGTGTCCAAAATGATCTGAGGCTGCATTTATTTGATCAAAAATAATTGTGAAATATTTTTACAGTTCAAAACAACGGTTTTCTATTTCAATGTATTTTAAAATGTAATTTATTCCTTTGATGCAAAGCTGTATTTTCAGCATCATTACTTCAGTCTTCAGTGTCACATGATCTTCAGAAATCATTCTCATATGCTGATTTGCTGCTCGAGAAACATTTCTGATTATCATCAGTGTTGAAAACAATAGTGAAACCATGATGCATTTTTTGTTTTAGGATTCTTTGATGAATACAAAGCTCAAAACAACAGCATTTATTTGAAATAGAAATCTTTTGTGACATTATTAATGTCCTTACTGTCACTTTTGGTCAATTGAATGCATCCTTGCTGACTAAAAGTTAAAAACGTTTAAACGCTAGTGTTAGTCAGTTTGTTTTCCAATGTATGCACTGCCCCATAAAGATGGAAATATACGGAATATTTTAGTGTCGCACAGAACTAATTTGTAGTTGATGAGCATTAGTTATGTTGTGAACCTCTTGCTCCAAAGCCTATAAATGAAGCGGTACTATTTTGTGTTCATATCATCCAAAATAATACAAATAAATAAATCTTATTAACCATCACTTTGTCAAGTCAACATTTTACTGTAAAGGTGTGATGCTGCTCCTTCATTTGGAAAGCAATCGTGTAGTGTTGTTAATCTCACCATTAAGGGTTTCATTTGTTTTAGGATTCTTTGATGAATACAAAGCTCAAAACAACAGCATTTATTTGAAATAGAAATCTTTTGTGACATTATTAATGTCCTTACTGTCACTTTTGGTCAATTGAATGCATCCTTGCTGACTAAAAGTTAAAAACGTTTAAACGCTAGTGTTAGTCAGTTTGTTTTCCAATGTATGCACTGCCCCATAAAGATGGAAATATACGGAATATTTTAGTGTCGCACAGAACTAATTTGTAGTTGATGAGCATTAGTTATGTTGTGAACCTCTTGCTCCAAAGCCTATAAATGAAGCGGTACTATTTTGTGTTCATATCATCCAAAATAATACAAATAAATAAATCTTATTAACCATCACTTTTCAAGTCAATATTTTACTGTAAAGGTGTGATGCTGCTCCTTCATTTGGAAAGCAATCGTGTAGTGTTGTTAATCTCACCGTTAAGGGTTTCATTCTGTCGGATGTTGTCATGCTGAGTCTCCTCTTTTACAGGAAGGAGAGGTTTATGCTATCGAGACCTTCGGCAGCACTGGGAAAGGCATGGTGCACGATGACATGGAGTGTTCCCATTACATGAAAAACTTTGAAGTTGGCCATGTGCCAATAAGGTGACTAACTAACTCCAGAAACAAGCAATTTGTCCGTCACAGGCAATCAGAAGATATTTGACTTTTAATGTTCTGGGAGCATGTCTGTGATGCCTAAAACTAGATAGGCACCTCACAAGATTTTCATCAGAATTATGAAGTAATGTTCATTCACCTCTTTCCCAGACTCCCCAGAGCCAAGCACTTGTTGAACGTGGTCAATGAGAACTTTGGCACTCTTGCCTTCTGCCGCCGCTGGTTGGATCGCCTCGGCGAGACCAAGTATTTAATGGCACTGAAGAACCTCTGCGACCTGGGCATCATCGACCCCTACCCGCCTCTGTGCGACACCAAAGGCTGCTACACGGCCCAGTTTGAACACACTATCCTGCTGAGACCCACCTGCAAGGAGGTGGTCAGCCGAGGAGACGATTACTAGGCCTCCACGACACCGGTTTTTATAAATCTCTCCTCTGCTTTCATAACACATGAGTATTTTGATGGCTAAAGGCCTGAGTAAGTTAATGAGCTGTGCCTTCTCATTTTTAACAAGCTAGTAATTGTTTGTATAAAGGATGAATGGAGGTAAAGATGTCCTCTTGTTGAACCACGGTGTAACTCGCTGACACAGATGTGTACATACCCCCCCCACTTGTAAAGTGCTCTAGAACCATTTTTGTAAATGTCCGGTGCACTTTTCTTGATCGATATGAGCAACCCAGAGAAATGTGGATTCAAAAGCACATTTTTAGATCATCTGGATTAGCTGTGTTACATACAAAGCTTTATTAACTCCTGCCCTAAGAGAAATTAGGAAACGTTTTGATCATTTTTTTGTTTTAATCAAGTGCTGTTTCTCCTTTTCAGTTTGTAACTTTTGATTCAGTTACACATTTAAGCTGAAAAATACTAGGAGACATTACAGGTGGGGTTTGGCTGTATTCTTTAGCTGAAGAACAGACTTACGCAACATAGACACCCATAATAAAATACTCATTCAAACACACACTTTCCTCCAAGAGCGGGCACTCGTAACAAAAGTGGCGATGTTGATATGTAAGCATCTATATTTTGGCTATGCTTGATTTCAGGTAAAGCCTGTTTGAAATCAACCACCTTTCTCAGAATAAAGCACGTGTGGCGTTTTATTTTGAAGTGCAAATAAAATTTATAAGAAATTATGTGATCTGCAAGTTGTTTCATGTTCTTTGTCTCAAGGTTTCATCATATGTACATGCTTTGTGTAAAAGTCATATTGGTTTACCTTATTAAACCTGTAGCATTTAAAGACACAATATGTAAGATTTATTTATTAAAATATCCAAAAACCACTAGAACAGTGTTATATATTTTGCTGACTTGTGTACTTACAGTATCCCAAATGTTTCGAAGAATGTTTAAATCCAGAGAAATAAGCCATTTTAACTAGTGACACGGAGCGTGTCTATAGTGTCATTGTGTAGTCTGCCGATGACGTCATAACCCCTCGATTTCCGGTTTTGTAGAAAACATTTAAACACCAAAGACGCTTTAATATGTTGTGTGTTTTAATAGACCGGTGACGACCGCACAGAGTAGCATTATAACAGAACTAAATGTATCT